ATGTATACCTCCTTGGTGGAAATGGGGGTCAAAGATTTGGTGGATGATGTTTCGCGCTCAAATTCATTTTCAAGGATATATATGGAAAATCATTTGAGACGTGATTCACATTTTCGCAGAATCAAGCATCATCGGTAGAAATGCGATTCTAAGATTTTTTGGTGCAGTTTTAAGTTTTGTCTGATTTACCTCAAACTAATTTTTAGAGCTCTACATAAGAACTTAATGAATACGTGTTTTAGCGATTTGGGAAATTCCACCCACAACAGTGGTTAATTTGCGAAAAACTTTGGTATGAAACTTTTTTGTTAATCATCGGATCGGCCTTAAACTCATTTTCAAAGATCTTTACTCAAATCATTTTAGGGGTGTTCCGCACTTATTGAAAAATCCATCCCTTCTTGGTAGAAATGGGTGTCAAAGATTTGGTGGCGCTTATATTCATTTCCAAGGATCCATAGGAAAAATCATTTGTTTTACATTTTTTGCAAAATCAAAGCATCCTCGATAATAAGTGCAATTCAAAGATTTTTTTGGTGATGTTTTCATTTTTTCAGATTTGCTTCAAAATTGTTTTTAAAGGTATACATACAAACCTAATGAATACGTGTTTTAACGATTTAGGAAATTCCACCCGCAACAGTGGTAAATTAGCGAAAAACGTTTGTATGAAAGTTGTTTGTTTACCGTACGATCAGTTTCAAAATCATTTTCAAAGCTTTTTGAGAACATTTATTTTATACGTGCCACGGGCAAGGCCGGGCTATACCCGCTAGTAATATATATATAGTATCAGACTGCATTTGAAAAGTTATACACCGCATTGAATATATTAGTTTTGTTTGTACTCAAACGCTTTCCTATGTTAAGCGAAATGAATATGGCGCTCGTATTAGTATATTAAAGATTAAAGAGATTTATAGAGTAATGTGAAATTTATATTTGTATATTCAAATTTGGTGCTAGGCATAGATAATCCAGTATAATTATATGTATTTATAGTATTAACGAATTTTTCTTCAAACGTTGACTGCATTCTGAACTGCAGTTTTGTCATCTACAATAATATTGGCAGCTGTTGTGGTCGTGTTGGAGCTAAGCAACTGCTTGGTTGATGAACTGGATGAGTAGCTGTCACTTGAGCTGCGTGTAGAAGCCGAATTACCGCTAATTGGACTATCAAGCATGTCTGCAAAAGTCAATGAATAGTATAGGCACTTTGTGATAAGTTAATTTCAGATGCAGCCTTACCCGGAAGTGAGCTGACATTATTGCTCTTTAAGTCAACACCGCAGCAAGGAGAGGCCTCATTGATAGGTCCAACAATGTTACCCGCAGATGTGGATTTTTTTTGTAGACTTTGACTCCCTTTTACCATGGTACTATAACCCACCGCAGAAGCGTTGGGTACGTTCATCTCGTGATTTAAAACAACACAGCTGCAACTTAAAGGATCACCTCTTTTAGCCCGGTCGGATGGATACAATGGACTAAGTATAGTGTTTTGGGTGTCATCAGGTGTATAGTAATCAGAATCCTCGGCACTAAAGTTGGCTACTAATAAGCACGGATCTCTCGCTGGCGCATCACAATCAGCAGGCTCGGTCCTATGCCTATCATGCTTTAACGAGGAAATATTTTCCGAATTGGACTCCTGCAAATCATTGTTTTCACCATCAATGCTAACGGTGACTGCTGCATCAGTAACGTGTATATTTTTTACTATATCCTCGCCGTCGCTGTCGCCGAGACTATCCACAACTAGTTTAAGCGATTTGCTTGAGGTATTTTTTATCTTCATCCCTGGTGAGAGCAGCGGTGACAATTTTTCGTTCTCGCTGTCCTCATCGTCGTCTGGAACACCAGCGTTGTCTTTCTGGTAATTAAGACGCTCGTTAATAATATGCAGCTCCTGTTTTTCTAGCGAGAAACTAAGCGTAGGATTAAACTCGGACTTGGGTGAGCTACAGGCAGCCGACTTCTTAGAATTGCTTTCAATTTCCATCACTGTTAGTGTGGAGCTATCCCCAGTAGGGTGTGTAAGGGTACCCACCTCATTGGTGGTTGTGCACGTAGAGACGTGCTTCTTAATCTTGGGTCGGCGTTGGCTACTTGACTTAAGTGGTGACGTAGCTTTAATATCATCACTTGTCATCGTGGAGGCGGCCATCATGATGTTCTCACTTGAGTCATTGTCGCCTTTCCTGTAGAAACATTTAAAAAAGATACAGTAATAGGTTAAAGTACATTTTCATTTGAATAGTAATAGATAAATTACAATTTCATATATTGATAATTTTTCCTGAGTTAATTCGAATACCTTTAGAGTCGTTAGACAAATCACCTAGACTTGACGTGTTTGAAAATGTGTTATAATACCATCGTGGTTAAAGCTGCATAAACAGCAGCGCACCTGCACTTTTCGCATGTATTTGTATGAGACGTCTAAGCCTATGTATGTGTAGAATTTGACAAAAAAATTGTGAACTAAAATTGCGAAATACAAGAACTTTTGAGAACGGTGAGCGCCGTAAGTGTGCGACTAGAGATACTCGCACTCGCGCCAGCGAGAAATATCTAATCATGCCGAAGAATATGAGCACCAACTCAAGTAGCGGTAGCCTAAGTATCGCTGATACAGCCTGTACTCATACACTACCATTGGATAATAATTATTCTCAGCGAAAGTGGCCAAAACCAATTGGATAACAAACCTGACTACAGGGATGTCAACGAGACCATAGTGTCTAATGAAGATGCTCCAGTGACCGAGAACAAAACCAACAATAAAACAAGAATAATCTGTCGAAGAACATCCACATTGTCTGCTATAACCTAAGTTTTTGCGAGAACGCACACTGCAAAATGTATTATTTTTCGCATGAGTTTTTATGATCCGCCACTTCAACTGATTAAAATAAGCATTACAGGGTATCACTTCTTCCTCGTATTAAGTCTTACATTCTAAACTATCTAGCAAGTAGATTGTCTTACTTTGTAGTCTTACTTAGTCTGAGTTCGTTTTTATACTTTGCTATATCGAATTATGCACTATAAGACTTAGCCTCAGTCAGTTGGGCTGGTGGTGTGAATAAAAAGAAGGGAAATTTCCATTTTAAGACTCTATATTAAGCAGACTTCAAAACACACTCTCAAAATTAAGTGGCAAAATAAACCCTAGCCTCCGGACGAAAACTCAACTTTAATTCAACCCAATCAAAAAGTATGATAATATATACAGCACTAAGCTGTACGAAAAGAATGATTAACATATCGGACACAATTTACCACAATAAAACACGACATTATACCATTTCAAACCACAAACTCGAAATTAAAAAACTCTTGACGAAAAATGACCTCCCACAGAATGTAATTAAAACATTATTAAAAAGAAAACACATCAGAACAGAAAAGCCAAAAGAACCTACCGAAATATACAAATCCCCAATGTATGTACCACGACAATCAGAAAATGTTCAATTAATTTTTTAACTTAATGTAGTTTAATGTTAATTGTTTTTTTTTTCTTTTGTATCTTAGTGTTAATGTGCAACCGAAATACAAATAATGGAAGAGAAATATTAAAATATTAAACTAAATTGTTTCAACTTTTTATTTAAATAAACAGGGACCTCGAGCAATCCAATAAAATAAAAAAAAAATGATAAAGTCGCCAAAACCAGAACATTATAATTATAATTAAAATGCGGGAAATGGTGATTGCGGTTGTGTATGTAGCTAAGCAAAAAAGCAATTGCCAGGCGTTTAATTAATGTCAATATGAAAACATAATTAGCAAGGTCAATCCCACTTATTACTTTGAAACACAAAAAGAGAAGCGCTTTGAATTCGCTGAAAACAATCTTCACAAGCCGCTTTAATTTCGGCGTAGTATACACTGGACAGGGCAGTGCAGTTTTCAGTTCCACTATTACAAAAATAAAGTTTTTGGTTAATTCATTTAAAAAATCTATACAAATTTGTTATGCTCTAGGGCTTTAGATGATTGCTAGATTATGTTTCTTTAACGGTTCCAAGAGAGCGTATGAAAAATGTCAGGGGGCTGACTAAAATTCTGCCGTTGTCATGGGTTTAGGTTTTGTCCGATTGGCTTGAAATTAATTTTTATATTCTTGGAAAATAATTTTGATAAAAACCAAAAATCAAGCCCCGGTTTTATTAATACCTTTTCTACTGGAGAATTAACATTAGTTGCAGCACCACTAACTTCAGATCTTGTGTTTGACTATCCTAATGTTGGAAGTCTTATGTCTAAAGCTTTCTAACCTTTCGATTTCGATATTATCGCCTTTACCGAGACTTGTTTAAAACCAGCCATCTCAGATTCTTTAGTATTTCCAGTCCAAAACAACTCCACAACTTACAGATGTGATCGAGCATTAAGTCTGCTCATTCGTCAGAACTCATTGAGCTTTCTACATTGGGGATCGAGGTTGTGAGTGTAAAACTGTCATTTGGTAGCTTTAGCATTTTTTTTTTTCATGTTTATATATTTCCCCACACGTTCATTTACAGTTAAATTTATATTCTCCCTACTGACGTCTTAGTCGTTCTTGGCAACTTTTATCTACCAGATGTTGCTTGGACCTCCCCTTCTACGTTTCATGAATATTTTGATGGTTTACAAATGTTGTCTTTATAGTAGATTAACCTGGGGCGCAAGGGTGCCTTAAGAGACAGATCACTTGGTTTGGTCTTTTGTGTTTGCTTTACTGATTCGGCAGTGTTGTGCCGATTTCACAGCGACTAGTCCTAACCGTACAATTGTGCAGACATTGATGTTGCCATTTGATGTAACTCTTGGATATCTGTGTTTCACTTGATTTTTCAGTGAGGTGTGAAAGGCCTCCTTGGTGTTTCAATGATCTAATGAGATTAAATAATGTATAGTGTTGTAAAAATAAGAGGTGTAAAGGTGCTATAAAAAATTTAAGAAATCGGGAAATCACTGTGATTTCTCGCGCTATGCGGTTGCCATATCAAATTTTTCAATGCCAAATTCTATATGCAATAAGAATAACCTTCGCTGTTATCGCCTTCAGTTTTCACATAATCCTAAGCAAATTTTCCAATCTGTTAATGCCAAACGAATACTTCTATTCTGCTAACTTTATATAGACTCTACAGTATGTAGTATGACACATGAGAATTAAAAAAGTAAAATTTTCATTTTTAAACTATTTAGCAAAAATTCTTAATCTATGGTCTTAATTAATTTTTATTTTTGTACCTCGCAACTGGGATGCACAACATTACCTCGGGATTGCGGAAAAAAATAGATAACCCGTTTTTCGCTAATTTTCCACTGTTCATTTTAAAATCGCTGAATTGCGTATTCATCAAGTTCTTAAATTGAGATCTGAAAATGAGTTTGATCCCGAACGAGCGAAACTTCGTCTAAAAACTCATTTCTCAGAGAGAAGGCATAGATTTAACAATGAGTGTGAAGCATATTTTTTACAAATTTCCATTAAGTTCCTTGAAAATTAATTTAATCGTGTAATTGTCTAAGCTAGGCGGATGGGATGGTTTTCCACAAACTCCGGACACGGCGTGCACCTTCATCAGAAAAGGTAACCCTAGTAAAGTAGTAGCAATAGTAGGAAAGGCAATTCGCATTATGTGGAAAGGCAATAAAAATTCTTTAATTCGCAGCAACCTCAAATTTGGCTTGCCATCTTGACAAGGATGCAAGATAGCTTTTAATTTAAGAATTTCAAAACAGTCGACTTTTCATGCTATGCGATTTCATCTGCGAATGCTGACTGCTTTATTAAATGGACAATTGCAAGAAATTAAAATTCCAGCTTAACTGCCGTTGTGCAATAAGCACATACACGATATTATGCTCATAACTTTGAGGTAAGTCCTGAAGATCAACTCTGGCATTGTATCTGCTCTTAAGATACATCGACCTCGATCACAACGGTCGAGTAGTCGCTTCTTTAGTAATGGTTGCTGCATGATCAATTCAATTTGCGAAATCCTTTTTCAAAGGGTAAATTTACGTTGTAAAAATTTTAGTCCAACAAAACAACGCAAATTAGTTAACTAGGTCGAAACATAATGCCAGCACACTCCTGACATGAGCATCTGCACTCTATTGACAACGAATGTTTGAAGGTGTGATGCGTTTCTAATCAATGAAGCACTACTTCAGAATCTGACCAAAATAAAATTCGTTTAAGGGCGTGTGCAAAAGGTGTCTTACATTGTCCCACAAATTAATTAATTAATTAATTAATTAATCAAATTAAAATCTGACATAAGGGTGCCGGTATGCTAATACATCTAATATTAATTTGGCTATTGTGTACTTAAACGCGTTACCCCGAAAACGCCTGGCTACTAACGTTTTTGTATCCTCCTAATGACCGATAAGTATTGTCTGATCAGAAGGTTTTGCTTCGAAGCGCTCACAGTTTACGTACAATGTGTTCAAATTAATGACGGAAAGTATAATGACATTAATCAGCTGCAATAGTCGCAACTCTGCTACAGTATGTACGACAGATATCAAATTATCTACGTAGAATTAAAAGTAATCGTTCACGTGATGTGACTTTGTATGCATCCATTCAACCTTGTCGGCGCCTCTTAGCTTAAAGCCAAGAATCTAGTTTCGGTGAGAACAAAATAGCAGCACATACACAAAGAACGGTATACGATACAATTGCAATTATATTTTTGTGTATGTGTGCACAAAAATACAGAAATATAAGTTCTGAGATCGACGCGCATATATATACCGACAAATATTGTACTGAACAAGAATAAATATATACCTTACAGGGTCGGATATGCTTTTTTATATGTACATACATTTGCACAAAACCATTTTACCCTTTTTACCCATTTTCAATGGGTTATGCACTCTCCAGCAGCAATGCAAGAGATCGCATATACATATACATATGTGCATGCATCATTTAGCTGCAGTTTTATAAAAAACCCAGTAAGACCAGTAGGGGATATCTTGAATCCTTTTCCAGCAACTACAACAAAATACAGCTCGCGATACGAGCTCGTTTGCGTTAGCAGGAATAAAAATAAATTTAAAGGAGTAAAGAGGCTCTAGGTCGGGAGTGCCTGAATTGGATATACCCTGAACCCTCTTTTACCAACACCAAAATCAGATCGCGCTACAAGCTCAATTGCATTAATAGTAATCAAAACAAATAAAAAAATTAAAAAAAAGATATGTCAACTGGTCTTGAACCCGTAGCAAGCCAAACTAACTGCCATCGCCTCTGTCCGACAGCTATACAAACAATTTATATTCGATGAAAAAAAAAAAGAATTAATATAGTAGCACTCACAGCACAAAATACAATATTATCGTACTTGCAATTGGAATGTTTATAAGTACGAAATATAAAAGGAAAAACAATCCGGACAGGATATATATATTTACTATTCTAGAAGCTACAAGTCTAGTTTGGTGACTTAAAACCTAAGAGATTTACTGCAAAAACAGAATTCCGTAATACATTTTTTTTTATTGCTTGGAAACGGGGCAAGTTATCAAGTATAGGACACTTTTAGGACCTATGTTCAAAAATGCAAGTGTCTAGGTCCATAACTGCTAAGATCGACGAGTTCATATATACGAACGGACAGCCGGACCTGGCTTAATCGACTCGGCTTTTGACGCTGATTAAGAATATAAGTTAACATAAGTAAACAATAAGCGACTAAATTGGACACTGGTCAATGGGATACAATGTAATAGTGCTGAACAAGCTGCCTTTTGGCCACTGACTCCGTGGACGTGATCGTCGCGGCGTTGCGGCATAGACTAGGGCTAGCTAGTAATATTCATAAATTTGCCACAGTCGTCGTAACCGAGTATAAAAAATAAAATTAACTCATTTAAATAACCATCGCGTTACTATATGCCCATTCCAGCCGACTGCCATCAATCAATTTACTTATATAATACTCTATATATATACTCTACGGTATTGGAGATACTCTTTTTGCCTGTTTGTCACATACATATGTACAAGAAAGTTATTCATGATTTACCCATTTTCAATGCTCATGGTATGACAACCAAAAACGAATGAACAGAGAACGAGTGGGATATTTTTATATCGCAAAAACTCGCACACAAGTGTTGCAGTAAGCAGTTTGTGATGAACATGCGAGTAAAATAGAGACAATGTTTTTGTTTCATATATAACAAGAAGTTCTATTCCGGAGCTCCCGAATAGGGAATACCCTGAACCCTCTTATTTCAACACCAAATGCAGCTCGCGCAACGCGCTCGTTTAAAGTAATAAAGATAAATTAAAAAAAAGTTCCTTTGGCAGGGTTCGAACTTGAACTGACCGCATTACTTGCTGACGACAGCCACACCAGAAAAAAAAAATAGTTTCCCCGGTAGGGCTAGAACTCACGACAGACCGCACCACTTGCTATGCCTCTACTCAACAGCCACACCAATATTTAAGTATTATTGAGAAAAAAAAAAAGAAAAAACGAATTGAAATAGCAGCACAGAAAACAATCGCAATTGCAATGCGGTTGATAGAATTCGAAGCAAACGCGCATGAATGTGTTTGGGTACATGTATACAGAAATTCTTGGAATACAATTGCGCAGTAAAACTTAACTTTGGTATTTTCTTAACCGATCTTAATGAAATGTTCTACAGCATATCTCATTGTACCATAGAATATTTGTGTATTCTCAAAAAGTTAATTGCATTGAAATTGTGGCTTAAATTGGGCAATATAAATTGGGTCATTATAGCTCTGCGGTAGTAGCGGGGAGGTGGCGATAGGTATGAAATGCAAGATACTTGATATATATATATATATAGTGCCAGCGGGTATAGCCTGACCTTGCCTTGGCACTTGTGTTATAAAATCAACGTTCGCAAAATATTTGAAAATGATTTTGAAACTGAGCGGACGGTAAAAAGTCGCTCAAACACGTGTTCATTATATTCTTATGTAGAGCTTTGAAAATCAGTTTGATGCAAAACGGACACAACCTAAAATTCACAAAAATATATCTTTAAAATGCACTTTCCACCGAAGGAGTTTATATTTTGCAAAAAATGTGAAACAGGTCTTAAGTGATTTTTTATGTGGATCCATGGAAATTAATTTGAAGGCGAAAGGCCACCCACCAAATCTTTGACCCCCATTTCCACCGAAGAGAAATACATTTTTGGAAAAGTGTGAAACACCCCTTAAGTAAATTTGAGCAAAGATCTTTGAAATTGAGTTTAAGGCCGATCGGATGGTAAACAAAAAAGTTGCATACAAACGTTTTTCGCGACTTTTCCATACTTGCGGGTGGAATTTCCCGAATTCCCCGTCTTAACGTGCACCCTCATCACATAAGGTAACTACAGTGAAAATTTCAGCTTGCTAGCTCTTACGTTTTGGGCTGTGCGTTGATCACCAATCAGTCAGTCGGTCAGGACCAACAGTTTTATATATAGAGATTCTAGAAACAACATATCAAGTTTGGTGACTCTAGCTCTTAATATTTACCCGATTTGCTCAAAAAAAAGGATGTCGTTATCGGTTTTTATCGACTACTTGGAAACGGAGTAAGTTATCGATTATCGGAAATAGACTCGATCTGCGCAGGCACTAGTAGGACCTACAGCTAAAATTTCAAAATTTCTAGGTTCGGACAGACGCACGGACAGATAGACGGACATGGCTAGATCGATTCGGCTGTTGATGCTGATTAAGAATATATATACTTTATGGGGTCGGAGATGCTTTATTGTTTTTGTTTTGTATTTAGCTGGTAAAATATGTCTTCTTGGAGGGTTGTTCCTTTGCTCTCTTTTCTATTGTCCGCCGAAGATACGTGGCTCTTAGTGAAAAACAGAAAAAAATTGAATTTCTATAGAGAATATTTCAGAGTATTATTCAATATTTTAATATATAAATAAAAATACTTATAATTTAATTTTGATTTGTGATTTACAAAAGAAAAAGAGGGCAATATATTTAAGTCTCGTAAACCCATTCGCAAAAAAAAAATAGATTATTAAAAAAAATCAATTAGAAATTAAATTTGAATCGAATTCATTATTTGCTTTTGCTGTTAGGCGAACAAATTTTATTTTATTCATATAATCATAGCATTTAGAGAGGAGAGACTTTCAATATGAGAGTACATTTCAGATGATCACGAACCAACGCAGAACTCTCTTGCATCCTGTTCGAATATGACTTTGTAAGCTATATGTTTCACATGCTTATATTTAAGTCTCATTGCTTAACACATTTCAGCAAACAAAATTTACAATATGGTTCGCTGAAGACAATAAACTGCTTCCCATTTGAAAACTTTCTAGGGCATCTAAAAAAAAAATGGTGATGAAGTCGGACTATTCCTTGGAGCACTTATACAATCGAACTGTAGGACGAAGTATTTTAAGGGCCCTTCTTATAGAAAAAACTTTAAATTTCAATATATAAAATATTATATAAGCACTGGTGTTTTTATCTTAAAGATGGCGATTGCTTTTAAAATAAAATCACTAACCACTTGTATGGTTAGTGATGAAATGTTGAATAGCCGATTAGTTGTTGATCTATAATCATTTTTTACTTTTCCCATAAACCACACCTTTGTAGGCATATTCTCTTCAAGCCAACTTTCCATAATGTTGAAAAAATATCTGGCAAAATATTTAATTTTGAAGACAATGGTATACACACTTAGTTTCCTTTCATTGACCATTAAGACAAAACATAGATAAAATGAATGAGATTACGAAAATGTATGGTTAAGGAGCGGAAATTATTCTCTTAATCGAAATTTTTATTATAAAGGGACTAATCTGCGGAGAGGCACACAAAGCGAAATTGACGCCAAGTGCACCAAACGTTACGCTTGGGGACTTTGAGGCATTTGAAGACTGTCTTAAATAAGAGAAGTCCTTCAACAATTTTGTAAGGAAACTTTATATAAAATAATTTAATTACTCGCTTATAAATCTTTCATTTTCCTAAAGATCATTGAATTAGTCGCAAATTCTGAAAAAACATACGACAAATTTATCAGGTGCTTTTGGCGCCAGATAATAAGAGACGATGTTGCAAAACAATGCTCCTGGCGTGGGACAGAGAAGAAAATGTGTGTTACACATTAGCCAATCAAAGTAGGTAATACTTTTATAACATATGTATGTGCAAATTAATATTATTTTGTTATTGTCTACAAATGCATTTAAAACGAACTTTGCGCTGGAAGACGGCGATTTTGACCGCATAACACAAACGTAATTTCAATACGCGCAGAAAAGAGGTTAGAAAAGTCGGATGCCAAAATAATGATCCTGCATAGGTACAAACGCTATATCAGACTGTATAACAGAGCCCTGAGAGACCTCCACCCTGCAGATTGAATTTACAGATCGGACAATAGAAACCAAAATTATTCCAGAAATAATGTTTGTGCTCCCGCCCGGAGGTCGTTTACTTTGCATATAAATGTTTGCAAATTATAAGCATTAAGCTTCTAACAATTTGGCAGAAGACTAAATCACATAGCTTCCTTAGAAAAATTGCGAAAGCTGAGATTTGGTCTGAAGTTTCAAGTTATTTCAAGTGAACTCTCATCCGTCATCTAAGCTTACAAACAATCAACATAAACTACCTTATCATATGTTTTCCAAAGTTGCATTTTTGCATACAATAAACGTTGACATTAGTCTTTTTCTCGCCACCCGAAAAAACATTATTCTTTTTAACATACTGTACGGCTTTAATGGAAAAAAAAAACATTATTAGTTCTGGCATTTCTTGTTTTAATACCTGGCACGAGTCACATACTGTGGCGGTCCATTGAGCGCCTCTATAAGAGAGACGGGTATGTATCCAGGGGGAACATCGGGAGGGGTGGGCTCGCCAGCCACTGAGGTTGGTGTATTCTGGTGCAGCATATGTGTGCTGATGCCTTTTTGCACAGCTCGTATTTGTAACAGAGCACGAAACGGCGCTCGGCAGATAGGACAGTTGTTTGCCTGGTAACGCAGAGAGTCGGCACAAGAGTTGCAAAGACATAGATGGCGGCAGGGCAAAATAAGTGTGTCGCGGGTTTCGCTCATGCAAATGACGCACTCACTTCCATGGTCATCAATCTCTTCATCCAGGGAGGTTTTGTTTACTGCTTTGTTCTCAATTCCGTAGATCTCCTGCAGCAAGTAGCATAGGCCGTCTACAAAAATTTTCTGCTTAAGCGCGCGCAGCACATAACTGCATGTCTCTGGATGGTGGTCTATCACGCAAATGGTAGTATGCGACTGACGACATTCCTCGTTACCTTCCTCAATGACACAATGTATAGCAACTGGGTATTGTTCGCGGCTGGCATTGTATGTAAGATCATCTTCAGGTATAAGCTGCGGGTTGAACACGTGGTTGGGTTGCGAGAAAAATTGATTGATACCTTTTTCGTAATGGTAAGTATCTGATGAAAGAGACAATCCTTCGCGAGGTACTAATGTGACGCCACTGGGACTCACATCTTCCGTACAAACGTAGTACACGGTAATGGCACACTTTGCGTCCGAGTCGAAAATAAACTCAATGTTGTAGTAATAGTTTGGCAGCACCGTCTCTGCACTGCTACTGACTCCAACCATGTTGCAAAGCACATTACCGTCAATCTGCTCACCGGATGCTGATCCGCTGGTTTCCTTTAGGCTTTTGTTCTTTTCATTCTCCTGCAAAGTATCAGCATCAGCACAACTTGGTCTTTTGCCATTAGGTACTCGCACAAATCGCACAGATTCCTTTCGTATATTGACAAGACTTTTGAGCGTTTTTGTTGGCTCATTAGCTTGCGGCGGTGGATAGGGAAAGGCTGTGGGTCGATTGCCTAGAAAATTAAGGTCCGCATTCTCGCCAAACAAATAAGACTCGGGCTGGGGCGTGTCAAAGCGCTCACCACCCATTATGAAGTGTGTGCCGAAGAAATTGCCAATACGAGGTGGATATTTGTAAGCATTATTAGTGATATGGTCTGCTTCCTCGACAGCTGCGTTTTGTCTGCTCACTAAATTACCCATTTAAACCCTGTCAATTGTTAGCTTTCACTGCAGTGCCTGCTTTGTTCTTTTCTTATTATTACAGTAGTGATGAAAAAAAAAATGCATCGATATTAATTCGATGTTTTGTTAATTCTTCGTATGGCACTTCAACAGATAATTCTTCGTTTTGGTCACCCCAGATAAAAAACACGGCATATTTGTCGCTGATGGTGTCTATTTAACGAAGTTTTTTCTCAGGATTACATTTCCGGCTGCAAAACTTAACTTTATTGTATATTTTTACAAGTAAAAGCAACCAAAATTCTGATAACGTGGTGGCGGTACGATTGTCGAGTATCGTGCAGCAACGATTCTACTCGATGATGAATTTCCGATAATTTTGAACTATCGTCAAAGCTTCGATATGAACGTGCGTCAAATTAGCGGCGGTGACTTAGCGTCGAATTTTGGTACTTGTTATCGGAAAACTATCGGTCACTTTCAAATGCATTTATTTATGTTTTTAAGCACGAAACCAAATAAATTTAAATGCAGAATTGCCAAAAATTAAATTATTTACTATCTACATTCATTTATTTTTGAATTTTAATTTTTAATATGGGTAAACAAAGGGGTTGAAAAGTTAGGTTTTCGCCATTCTTTAAATATCTTACTTCAGGGATAATGGCCCCGAAAACCGCATATACACGATTGAAGTCTATAGTTTCACCTATCCAATAGTGAAAAAATTATAAAAATCGATCAGCACGTTTTTAAGATATTTGTACTACAGTGCAGCAACCTCGTTGCTAGCCCCATACAAAATGACCGTAAAAAATCACCCTTGCACTTGAACCCTAATAACTTTTCTCAGGGATAATGGCCCTCAATGCACGGTATACCAACTTGAAGATACATGTTTAAGGAAGCTTTACGCATTAATTCTACGCAAATCGATCAGCCAGTTTTTTAGAAAAATGGCAAAATGTAAGCACACCTCATGTTGTTCATTCAAAATGCCTATCGAGCTACTAGCTCCAACGGGAACCGAACCACTGCTCGGAATCAGTGTTGAACAATGTTATAAAGTATTGGGCGGGAACAAATTAATTCAAAATACTTGTATATGAAAGAGAAATGCAGTAATATATAAAATAATTGTCATTTTACAATAAAACATTATCTTTGGTAAAATAGACTGCTGCAAAAGACGACACCTATGCATTTAAGTATTTATGCACGTATAATAACGAAAAGGTGGCAATATTTCAACCTATATTATTCTATTTCTCCGATAATGGCCCCAAATGCACGGTAGTTTAACATATAGATCGCGAATTATCAATCATTTTGCTTTTTACATCAAGAAAATCGTCCAGCCAGTTTTAGAGAAATTCGCATTTTTCTATTTTTCTTATTATACCCTCTGTTATGCAAAAAAAACTAGCTGGCAACATTACATACTTAACATATTCATTTATCAAAATGGCGACGATATTTCGACCTTTATTATTCTATTTCTCCGATAATGGCCCCAAATGCACGGTAGTTTAACATATAGATCGCGAATTATCAATCATTTTGCTTTTTACATCAAGAAAATCGTCCAGCCAGTTTTAGAGAAATTCGCATTTTTCTATTTTTCGTATTATACCCTCTGTTATGCAAAAAAAACTAGCTGGCAACATTACAAACTTAACATATTTATGTTAGGGGCTGCCAACTTATGAAGAATGCAAACATAGAGATGTAGAATGTTTCAATATATATAAAGTATATTAATTTAATATAAATATCATGATTACATAATATTCATCGTCATGTATACTTTTACTTATTTTCACAAGCTGGCATCTTTATATATTCCATATCATTATGTTTGCATTCTTCATAAGTTGGCAGCCCCTAACATAAATATATTAGATATGTAATGTTGCCAGATAGTTTTTTTTTGCATAACAGAGGGTATAATACGAAAAATAGAAAAATGCGAATTTCTCTAAAACTGGCTGGACGATTTTCTTGATGTAAAAAGCAAAATGATTGATAATTCGCGATCTATATGTTAAACTACCGTGCATTTGGGGCCATTATCGGAGAAATAGAATAATAAAGGTCGAAATATCGTCGCCATTTTGATAAATGAATATGTTAAGTATGTAATGTTGCCAGCTAGTTTTTTTTGCATAACAGAGGGTATAATAAGAAAAATAGAAAAATGCGAATTTCTCTAAAACTGGCTGGACGATTTTCTTGATGTAAAAAGCAAAATGATTGATAATTCGCGATCTATATGTTAAACTACCGTGCATTTGGGGCCATTATCGGAGAAATAGAATAATATAGGTTGAAATATTGCCACCTTTTCGTTATTATACGTGCATAAATACTTAAATGCATAGGTGTCGTCTTTTGCAGCAGTCTATTTTACCAAAGATAATGTTTTATTGTAAAATGACAATTATTTTATATATTACTGCATTTCTCTTTCATATACAAGTATTTTGAATTAATTTGTTCCCGCCCAATACTTTATAACATTGTTCAACACTGATTCCGAGCAGTGGTTCGGTTCCCGTTGGAGCTAGTAGCTCGATAGGCATTTTGAATGAACAACATGAGGTGTGCTTACATTTTGCCATTTTTCTAAAAAACTGGCTGATCGATTTGCGTAGAATTAATGCGTAAAGCTTCCTTAAACATGTATCTTCAAGTTGGTATACCGTGCATTGAGGGCCATTATCCCTGAGAAAAGTTATTAGGGTTCAAGTGCAAGGGTGATTTTTTACGGTCATTTTGTATGGGGCTAGCAACGAGGTTGCTGCACTGTAGTACAAATATCTTAAAAACGTGCTGATCGATTTTTATAATTTTTTCACTATTGGATAGGTGAAACTATAGACTTCAATCGTGTATATGCGGTTTTCGGGGCCATTATCCCTGAAGTAAGATATTTAAAGAATGGCGAAAACCTAACTTTTCAACCCCTTTGTTTACCCATATTAAAAATTAAAATTCAAAAATAAATGAATGTAGATAGTAAATAATTTAATTTTTGGCAATTCTGCATTTAAATTTATTTGGTTTCGTGCTTAAAAACATAAATAAATGCATTTGAAAGTGACCGATAGTTTTCCGATAACAAGTACCAAAATTCGACGCTAAGTCACCGCCGCTAATTTGACGCACGTTCGATATGAGCAAATACGATGTATCATATTAGCGGAGGTGACTCAATGTCGATTTTTGGTACTTGGTAATCGGTCACGTTTAAATGAATTTATTTATGTTTTTTTTTTTAATTTGTCCGATGATGGCCCCAAAGGCACGGTAGTTGTACATATGGAGCACGATTTAACAATCATGTTGTAATTTATTTCATTAAAATCATCTCTACAGAATTTGAGATATTCTCATTTCTCTATTTCTCTCATTACATCAATAAATATGGGATGAAATATCATTCCATCGCATTGTAGGTTGAAATATTGCCGCCATTTCACATTAACTTAGGGTGTGATGAGAAAAGTAGAAATATGCAATTTTCCCAAAAACTGCACTATTAAGTATGACTGGATACTTCTCATATAATTTGACTTGGACTTTTTTATTCATGAATACATATTATTCGAATTAATTTGTTAGCGCCCAATACTTTATAGTATTGTTCAACACTGTATCCAAGCAGTGATTCATTTAACGATGCAACTAGCAGTTCGATAAAC